GAGCGTGCAGAGCCCCTGTGTTGAGGATAGAGCGTGCAGAGCCCCTGGGTTTGAGGATAGAGCGTGCAGAGTCCCTGGATTTGACGCCAGTGTCAGAAAAACAAAATTTAAATCTCTTTGCCTTTTGATTTTTCTGCTATAAACCTGCATGCAGGGTGTATTAAAATTTCATCACTGTGATATAACTGAGACAAAGCCTTTCTGCTTACTGGGCAGCTTCTGCGACATACATTTTCTTCAGCGTTTTTTGAATGATATATCTAGGGTTTTTTCAAAGATCATACCTTAGTTTTTGTTTTGTTTTCTGAGTTAACTTTGGATTTTATTTTTATTCATGACCTTTTCCTGGTTTACTCTGGTTCTTTTCATTATTCTTGTTTCTATTGTGTTTTTGAAATGACAACTTTTTTAATGTGGTGTTTTCTGGTGCTGTTTGTTCTCTTTTCTGGTCCCTATTGGAGAGGTGCCTCTGTGGAGTCAGAAGTAGAAGCCAGAGCAAGCTACATTCTGAGCTTGTTCCTCAAATTCCACGACTGATTTGATCAGCACATAAGTCAGACAACCTAATGCCTCTAGTTCATATTTTCTTCTTCATTATAGAAACTGATACTTTGCTATTAACTAGCATGCCTGGTAACATTTGCCATTGCAACCATTTTTAAGTATAAATTCAGTTTGTTCAGCTAAATTATATAATGTGCAACTATACTGCCATCCTATTGCAATTCTGTATCACAACTCTAAAATGTGACCTCCTAACACTTGCCATCTGCTTTGTGTCTGAATTTGTGTGTTCTAGATATTTGTATTAATAGGTCCACATAATTGCTCCCTTGGCACATCTTCAAGGCTCGTATACACTGCAGTGTTTGTCAGAGTCCATCCTTTTTTACGGCTCGACAGTATTCCCCTGCAGAAATACGCAATGGTTTGGGTATTGGCTCAACTCTTCGGTTATTCTCAACTGCTGTCTACCAAGCATAATATTTCTGTGGAGAGTTGTAGTAAAGAGTCTATGAGGGCTGGAGAGATGGCTCAGCAATTAAGAGCATTGGCTACTTTTCTAGAGGTCCTGAGTTCGATTCCCAGCAACCACATGATGGCTCACAACCATCTATAGTGGGATCTGATGCCCACTTCTGGCCTAAAGTCGATAGAGAACTCATACATAAAATAAATCTTTTTAAAAAAAGAAAAAAGAATCTATTGAATCCCTGTTTTCAGTTTTCTTGAGTGGAATTGCTGAGTTTAGTGGTTCTATCAACTTATTATTTATTTTCTTTTAATAACATATTAATTCTTTGAGAATTTCATTCAATATACTGTTCATATTCATTCCCAGACCCCAACTCCTCCCAGATCCCTCCCCATCTCTCCACTCACCCAACTTTTTTCTCCTCTCCTTCTATTTTTTCTTGCTACCACCTAGTCCAGTTGATGTTGCCCAAATTGTCCTCAGTGTGAGGCCTGCCCTGGAGTGTGGTCCACCTACCCAAGGTCATGTCATTAAAGAAAACTGACTCTCCTTCTCCCAGAGCTACTGAATGCCAATGTCACATCAACTAGGGCTCGGAATCTTGCCCACCTTGAGCTTGCATGAGGCTCGCACATGCTGCCACTGTAGATCCACGTGTAGATGCCCTGCTGTGTCTGGAAGACACTGTTTCCTTGGAGCTGTGCGCTATGCCTGGCTCTCACAGTGCTGCCACCACACTCCCTTTGGGGAGTGGTTTAATACAGATGTCCTGTTTAGAGGTGAGCACTCTGAAGTCTCTTACTCTACATGCTGGCCAGTTGTGGCTCCCTGCTGATTGCCAGCTATTGCAGAGTTATTAACTTTTTGTGACACTGCCGAAGGTCTTCCTCAGCACATGTGCCACTTTTAATCCCCTCTAGAAACATATAGGGCTCGGTTTCGCCTCGTTCCTACCAACATTTGTTATTCCTATCATTTTTTCCATTCTACCCATCTTAGTAGATGCGAAGTGATAGTTCATTGTGGTTTATGTTTGCATTTCTCCAATGAATGATATTTCACAAATAATATTGAGCTTTTTCATATGCTAATTGTCCATTTATTATTTCTTCTTGAAGAAATGATTCAATTATTTTGCCCATTTTTAAATTAGTATCTTTCTTTATATATTCTAGATGTTAAAACGTTTATCAGATATGTAAATTGCAAATATTTTCTTTCTATGGATTATCCTTTTAGTTTTCATATTGTCCTTGTGATATACAGAAGTTTTTAATTTCATGTGGTGCCCTAGTTAGATATACAAGATGTTGTAAAACTACAGTACTTTATACAGTATGATGGGGGAAAAAATCACAATAATAAAAATTTGACTTCTCGGTTCATTGGAATGCAAATTGGTGCCACCATCATGAAAGGCTGTTAGATATTTCACATAAAAACCTTTTAATTTTTCTATGACCCATCATTTTTTTATCGCCTTATATTTCTGGTCTTTTTCCCTTTCACTATTTATTTATTTTTTAAAAACTATCTTTTCTCATTTACATGCCACATCTATTTCCCACTCCCTCCCTCCCTCCTGCTCCTCTCATCTTCCGCCCCCCATCCCACCCCATCCCCTCCTCAAAGCTGGTAAGGCTTCCCATGGGGAGTCAGCAAAGTCTAGCACATTGCTTTGAGGCAGGACCAAAGCCCTCCCTGCTATATCTAGGTTGAGCAAGGTATCCCTTTAGGGAGAATGGGTTCCAAAAACCAGAACAAGCAGTAGGGATACATCCTGGTCTCACTGCCAGTGACCCTACAGTCTGCCCCAGCCATGCAACTGTCACCCATATTCAGAGGCCTAGTTTGATCCTGTGCTGATTCCCTTGCTGTCAGGCCAGAGTTGGAAGGCTTCCATTAGCTCAGGTAAGCTGTCTCAGTGGGTATCTTAATCATGGTCTTGACTTCTTTGCTCATATTCTCACTCCTCCCAATCTTCGACTGCACTTTGGGAGCTCAGCTCAATGCTTCGCTGTGATTCTTTGCACCTACTTCCATCAGTTGCTCGATGAAGATAGCCATCAATCTGACTGCAGGACAAGAGCAGTTCAGGCACCTTCTCTGCTATTGTTTAGGGTCTTACCTGGGATCATCCTTGTGGATTCCTGGAAATTTCTCTAGTGCTAGGTTTCTTGCTAGCCCCATAATAACTCCCTTAATCAAGATATCTCTTTCCTGTTCTCCATTTCTGTCCTTCCCCATCTTGACCATCCCATTCTCTCTAGTTCTCCTCTTCTCTCCCTTCCTCCTCTCCTTCTCCCCTTCCACCCTCCCCTCTCCCACACCCATGCTCCCAGTTTTCTCAGGAGATCTTGTCTATTTCCCCTTCCAGGGGTATCTATTTATGTTACTCTTTGGGTTCTCTTTCTTACTTAGTGTCTCTGGGATGAGCCATCATTTTAACATGTAAGAATATTTATGAGAAGTTATTTGTATGCATATGTGAAAAATTCAGAGATAAGAATAAGCATTACAACATTGTTTTTGTTCCTTTAAAACAAACATTTTACATAATAATTCAATGTACACTAAACACATAATACACAAAATAATATCCTTTAGAACAGTTACACACAAGATATCCATAATGGATTTACACACTGGAGCCAGGTTATGACTAACTGGGTAATCATTGGCCTAGGCATGTCTGGTGAGGGTGCATAGCACAGACACAGCAGGTTCACAGGGTAATTGAAGCCTGCACACAATTGGCAGTGTCTTGGAGATAGTGGAACTGTCACACCAACCAGGTTACCACTACACAAGTACCACTTAGCATCAGGGTAGAGCTGAGGGAACACATGTAAAATGTAAGATCTGCATATGGGTGATGCAACCAACTACCCTAGTGTCATGCCATTGAAAACACCAAATAAACCTTGAACAGTGAAAAAATAAAACAAACAAACATGTGTTTATTATTTTGACTCAGAAATCATTATATGGCCCAGGTTAGTTTGGAACTAAGATTATACTCTTGTCCCGTCACACTCAGCCCTAAGAAATGGTTTTTTTTCTCTTTTTAATTGAAAATAAATTTTTATACAATATATTTTGATCATGTTTTCACACCCACAACTCCTCCCAGAGTCTCTTCACCAACCCAAATCTCCTCCCTCTCTCTCTCTCTCTCTCTCTCTCTGTTTCTTCCTCTCTCATTAAAAATCAAGCAGGCAACAACAAAATGATAGACTCAACCACAGTCAAAACAAGTAGAAAAAGAGACAGAAAATGCACAGAAAATACATGCAAACACAGAGACACACGCATTTGTTCATGTAGAAGTCCCACAAAAACACAAAATCGGAAACCATAATATATGAGCGAAAGTAAGGT